TGATACAAATTTGATTCACTCCATCAATTTGAAACATCAATCAGTTTGTGTAAAATCTAGAAGGCCCCCTCTGGCCCCCCCTCCTCCTAAGTTGGTGGCAATGCATATAGTTATAATTATAAACCTTACCTATCTTGAAGTAAAAGTAAAGACTTTGCCTAGACATATTAAAAGTCTCTGGTAGAATGATAGAACAATCATCTCAAAAATTCTTTATTCGATAAGTTCAGACAGATAATGGTTCTCAATTAGTTTACGTTAACAAAAGTTAATTCATGTTCACAGATATAAATTGTTTTTTTTTTTTTTTAAGGACAAAAATGTTCCATGTGTGAAAACCGAGATTTGTAGTTATAGACGGTTTATCTAAACTTTATCTGATAAGAGCATAAAACTCTTTATATGATATAAACTATTTATTATTTATAGAAATAAGAGCTTAATAAACTCTTTATTCTTTAAAAATAAATTAACAAGTGAGTTTGACTCTTCATAATTAGTGAGTTAAATTTCACTTTCTATCCTAATTTTAAATAATAAATTACAAGTTTCTATACATTTTATTTATGATTTATCTCTTCTATTAAGAAAAAAATATATTATCCCTCTTAAATTTTAAAGAATTTATTAGATTTAAATTAATAAAAATATTCTTTATTTATATGAAATATACTTTTTAAAATAAAGAGCACCATTAAAAATACTCTAAGTGAGAGCTGAGATTTATAATTATAAAGAATTCATCTAAACATTATCTAATAAGTTCGAACAGACAATGGTTATCTATTAGTTTATGCTTTCAAGTCGATTTTTACAATTAATAAATAATATGTAAAAATTGATAAGTAATATTATACATACAACATTTTTATGTAACATTTCTCATATAATATTAAGTGGTAAAATATAATTAATTGATTTTAAATTAAAATTAAACTTTCTTTCATTCATCTCTTATCATATAATGTTGTATGAGAATGTTGTATATATAATATTATTAAAAAAATAATACATAATTGACCAAAAAAAATTAGTCTGAGGAACTCAAAAAGGTTGCAGCTATCGATTAATTCACGCTTTCAAGTCGATGTTTACAATAAACAAGTACCAGATGTTAAAATTTAGACATCTCGAGTTGTGTAAGGTGTCCACGTAATGGATGAGTCATGGGGTGAGTGTCTAATCAGTCAGCCAGCTAGGCTGATGAATGAATGAGCAAAGACATGAAACTATAATAACTCTAGTTGAATGGAGCTAACAAATGAGAGGTGATACACCTAGAGTGCCAACAAAGACTAATTAAATTCAGGATGTCCAGATCCTGAAATTGTTCAATCTATAATCATTGATGAAGTGGGGTCTGTGATTTGATCACAAACTGGCCTAAACAAACCCAGATACATCATTTTTAATTACCAATAATTTACTGAAAAATCTTTCAACTTGGAAGACAAATTTCAAGGTCCTAGCATAACATAGCTTCCAGGGAGATCAAACCTGGATGATATGTTGATTTCTGGACATGAACAAACCCTTCGAATGCAAACGGCCGACACCGTCCATCGGAGGATTCTTCCCAAGGTCCTGCAACTTTCATCTGATAGTCTCTACACGATTAGTTAATGATGAATATGACTAATGCTTTAATGTTCACAAACCTTTTCTTGGAGCTAAACCACACAAACAACAAGGTTGTATCAATCCACAAGACTAAGTCCAATTGCCGACTCAAAATGTGAAATCCTGAAGAAATTTCTACAGATAAAAGTACTAAGAAATTTATTGCAACACAACGGTCCAAATGTCATGATGTGAAATTTCCCTCCCTAGCACCTTCTGTTCATCATTTCACACACAACTAGAGTAATTCTCAGATGCGGACATCCTAAATTTTTCATTGGCTAAAGTCCATGACTAGTCACTAACCTTTCATCAATAAGAGACGAATACAGTAGAAGTAGCCATGTTCTGCACGTTCATTGGCGAATGAAAAAAGAAAAGAAAAAAAGTTCTACTACTTTGATGGGGAGATTCTGATGATCCATATTGTGTTCTACTTTAAACAAAAAGGAAAGTGATAATTTTGATTGAATAGATAAGTCCAATTTCAGAGATTCTCAGATGGAGCTGAAACTTCTTAAAATAAAGACATGGGTCCTATTTGCTTTTGAAAGAGACATAACATCTTTTATTTCAACCCACCATATCAATCAGAGGGTGCTTCAATGAAAATTTTATGACATTCATAATGAAACACCTCTTTGCCTCCAAGCTCAAATAATTTAAAACGAAAGTGAAGGATTCATGAAACTAGTAAATCAAAAGAGGCAAAAAATCAAGCACCTTATAGCATATCATTTTACATTAGGATACAAGACTCAGGCATTTCACTTGGGAAGGCAGGGGGCACCTCTCGCTGCATCCTGACTGGTGGCACCGGTCGTGGCGGTGGAGGTAACGGAAACAATGATGGTGGTGGTGGTTGCGGCGGTATGAATTGTGGTCCTAACATTGGATATGGATAGGTCTCCCATGGTAGCCTGAACCTATTTTCTCCATCATAAAAATACTGATTTTTCTGAACATCACTATTAAATCTAAGAGATTTGATCTCTGCATGTGTCCCATTCTTTCCTAGAATCCTCAATATTAATTCTGGATTCACCTTACCTTGAACTTCAACTGTCCCTTTTTCTGCATCTACCACAAAAGAATAACACCCTATACAACCATTAAAAAAAAAAAAAATCAGTATGTGTTGTGAAACATACATATAGCTTATGTGACATTATTTCATTCTTTTGCTAAAATTTTGTCTTTTAACAGACTCTCGCATTAAAAATATTTATTCGAGATTTTAAAATTAGCACGTTCGTATCTGAGAAATTTATTCAAATATAGCGCATGGAAAGTACCATGTAGATTTTGCAATACTTGCATCACTTTCTCCTTACAAATCTCACAGTGGATTTTCACTTTCAGAACACAAGCCTGCATAGAAGAAAAAGAGAGAAGGAATGAGATGAAACTGAAAGAAAAGATTGAATCCAGTTAAATTCAAACACAAAAAACAAAAATCTTTAGCTGACCATTGTAGCAGAGGACTCCATGGCATGAAACAATCAACTTCTAAAGGGCAGTTTTGCTTGTTAATGGTTAAAGAGATTAGCATAATAAATTATGAATTAAAATAGAGTTCCAATTAGTTAATGAAATTCTAATTTCCTAAAATATAAGATCCTGTTTCCTTAATTCGTAATCTAGAATTAAGCTCCCTTTCCTTTTTGTTATTTTTAGTAATATTGGTCAAAATCACATAAACCCCAAAGTGTACTATAGCTTTCATAGACCCCTAACGTTTACCAAGTATCATTTAACTCTCTTAACTCGTAGTCTTATCAAATTCACCCCTTTGGCTTTAAAATTTAGTCAGTATCACTTATATTTCGGGAATTCACAATGACATGAATGTGTGTGCAAAATTGTAAAGGAAAAATACAATGGGCAATCGACCTTACAACCAATCTCATTGATATCGGAATATCTACATTTGGTCATAGCCTGAGATGTAAAAGGTGCATTATAACTTCTCTAGAAGTTATCCAATGCTGCAAAATAGAGTAAGACGGAGATATTTATATCCAGCCAACCACAACAAACCATGTAAATAAGCATGGCTTGTACCTACAATGTAATTGGATGCACCCATTTCACTAAAGACTTTCTCGTTCTACATTTCACATATATCATCTAAAATATTAAATGCTTGGAGACAACCTTGAATCTTAGATGGTAGATACTCCTCTGACAAAAAGGAAAGTGAGTGCACGGACAATGCTTCAATCTCATATTTCACTCCTCTTTGCAGCATCAATTCTAGCTCAAACCTTTCAGGGGAAAGCATCCGCTCAGTATTAATATATTGAAGTTGACAGCATAACATTATAAAATGTGACAAAAATTTACCTCCATTCTGGCACTTCTCTTTGCAGGTAGCATCTCTGTAACATGGCTTCAGTTTTCTTCTTATCTATCCAGAAATGCAGGAAGCCAGTAAACTAGTGAAAAATGCAATAATTAAAATAAATGAATTTCCGAAATTGGGAGTTATAAAATCTGTCTCACCGTGGGCTGTCAAAGGAAGGAGACACTGCTGAGGAAGACCATATTTCTCCACATCTGAAGGAAAAGCCCCCAGCCAACAGATCTCTGGGATGCGTAAGAATTTTGCATCATAGGCCATTTGCTTCAGAACAAATTGAGAGAAGTTGACAAGAAAATTCAAGTCATATTAGTGAATAATGGAAGGCAATGGCACCGTAACTGGATAATGTGAAGCTAACAAAAGAATACCATAGAACCAAACCGGTATGTGGTCAGGATGTCAAAGCCATACGGATCACAATCTACCAAACAATATGCAGGCAAATGCAAATTCTCCATAAGGAGACGCAGAAACCTGATAGAATAAAATGTGACAAACTTGGGCCTTGGAGACATAGAGGAAACAGAATCTAATGCACAAGCGTAGTAAAAATGGCTATTCAAAGAGAGTTTTCTACCTTCTTGTGGAGATGTCTGGATACCCTCTTCCCTGTATAGGCAAGAAGAACATGTATTTATAAATGACTTTGAATAGAGGACAAACAAAATTTGTGCTTAATAGGTACTTACAGTGATGACAATGCAGCGGTTTCTGGTACAGAACCGGTCATTGGCTAACCGCTGGAACACTGCATTCCGAGGAATCAATAACAGTGACTTAGCAATAAGAGCAATCTTAGAATAAAAATTACTTTTACTGGTTTGTGTGAAACCATGAACATTAAGAAGAACACCCTTTACCCGATTCTTTCTCAACAACCAGTATGTAATGTGCCACACTAATGATATCTACATAGAAGCAAGGATTAAGGAACATTAGCAAGGGTCAATATCATATAGCTACCATGAAAAAAGAGATTTGGTATAATCAAAGAATTTAAAGCTCCCTACTGGTTTTTTTTAATTTCCTTTTAAGGCATTGATAATAAATGTAGATATTATAATGACAATAGTCTGGATACCTTTGACTTCCTCAACGAGCACAGGAATGTGGTGGGCCTGCAAATAAATAAGATAAACGATTATATTCTTGTCAATGATACATCCAAATTATAAATATGTTCTGTCATTCTTACAGTGTTAAGATTGTTTATGCAGTCAAATTTCCTTCCAGCTTCCACGAATTTTAACCAGCCCATCACCAACCTGCAATAGAGTGAAATGTATCAATAAACATTTAGACATCCAAGTTTTTCAAGTTGTAGCTTGAGTAATGAGAATGTAAGAAACGAGCAATTGAGCAGCTATGAATCAAAATAAAATAGTTGATATAAAGTTATAAACTCCGATTAACCAAATTCATAATCACAACTGCCTGAGGTTTAAGTGCATTGTTCATTCATCAGGTTTTACGAGCATTTAGGGGAACAGTAGTTTGTAAATATGATAACCGTACGTGAAGATTTTAATTTAAACAGTAATGATAACTGACACAAAAAGGGTCCATAGCTCAGTGGTAGAGCATTTGACTGCAGATCAAGAGGTCACCGGTTCGAACCCGGTTGGGCCCTCTTTACAAAAATATTTTTTTTCAAAATTCAGAAAAAAATTCCCCAAATTACCGTTCAGATAATGTATCTGTATGCTAAAATTACTTGAACTCATCATATATATTTATATATAAAAAAGCATTCGGTTTGAATATCTTCACATCTTATAGGGATCTGTCTGATAAGAAGTACGCACCCTTTTCCAACAGACACCTGCCATAAGGAGTTCACATAAAGTAAATTACTCAACCACAGTAAATCCCTTCTAAATAATGTTACAGCTTTTACAATTAACTGAAAAATGCAGGAGCAGGACAACTGCCGTTGAACTATCCCAAGGTATATTTATTTCAACCATTAGACCAGAACTCAATCTTCAAATCACCAAATTTAGGGAAATTGATGACATTTTGAAAGGAGTAATAATGCTGTGCAGCCACATTTTATCTATGGGACTTTCATGTATATATGGTTGGTGGTTGTAGGAAAATAAACAAAATCAAAATTTAGTTAAAAAGAGTAGGCATTGTACTGCATGCGCTATGCTTCCCTTGATTCAGTTAACTTAGAAAAACAAGGTTGTGGCGACTGATAGAAATATAAACTCTGAAACTGATAGAAATACCAACCACATTAAGGTTGTGGCGACTGCATTGCAGAAGGATGCATAGGTCATTGATTGCTCGGTCCACAACTGATTGTTCTACATAGCCAAATAAAAAGAACTTAACAGTGGAAGAGTAGGAATATTAAAAAGAAACTTCTGACATCTTTGAAACTGACAAGTTCATAGTATCTCAAAAGTTTAAGCTTCACTTATTTTATAGCTCACACTACATAATTCAGAATATTAGACAATACAATCACAGATATACCAGAAAAGCAAGGGTTATGGAAATGAGAGGATAATCATTGTACCATTCAAAGTCCTAGCATATAAACGCTGCTATATATCATAATTGATCAAAAATACACAGTGTTTGTCAAGTCACTGAATCATAATTCATACAATGCAAGTTATAGCAGAAGCGTGAATTTAAAGCGGGAAATTAATCTAGATTCACCTGAAAACACAGATGGATGCATGTAGTATATATCTCTCTTTGAGCCATGCCTATGTTCTTGTAGAAGTTGTTGAACGGCCAGTAGCACCCTCAACAACACATCTAAAAAACAATCATCAAGTAACCAATAAACTCGATTCCCTCAAGAATTTGTCAACAAAAGCTCGTTAATCACTTGATCAAACAAGTTCGAAACTCTATTATATATGCTAATCACACTTAATAAACTCACCGATTCTATGCACGTGGCATTGTCTCTCCAGTGTCAGAATATCACATCCCTTTGACAAATCAGAACTGCAAGCACTGCACAGAGCAACAGCAGCGCATGGAAACACAGACTCACGTAAATGCTTTTTTACATAAGTGCTTTTTGTGTCAAAATCTACTTTATCTACTCTACAAAAATACTTTTAAGAGTACAAAAGCACTTTGAAAAATCAGAACTGCAATCACTTCATAAATCAACAGCAGCGCTTGGAAACACACACAATGGCATAAGAGTATTTTTCAAAAAAAGTGAATTTTAATCTAATTAGTCTACTTCAAAAAAAAATATAAAATAAAACACTTCTGACAATGTATTAGCATTTCCAAACAGCAGCTAAAATCAATTAACAACTACACCGCCTCAAAAGTTAATTATAAATTTTAACTATTGAGACACCTAGTAATTTGCATATAATCATGATCAAATAATCATAAACTCAATTTTTTTTTTTTTTTAAAAGAAAAAAAGTCTGCATAAGTGCTTTTCTAGAAAGTGCTTTTAATCTCAAAAGCTACTTTATCTACTATGTAAAAACACTTTTAACAGTGTATAAACACTTCCAAACAGCACCTAAAATTAATAAACAACTATTCCTTCCTCAGATTTTCGCTTCAAAATCTTAATTCTTGAAAAACCTCCTCAATAATATATGCACTATCATAATCTTATAGTAATAAACTAAAATTTGAAATGAATGAATAGATAATCGAACCAGGTTGCATCGAGACTCGTGCAGTAGTTTCTGAACCGTTTGATGAAAATCAACGGTGATCGTTCCTCGCTTAGATCTTTCACGATTGATCTAGTGAACTCTGCAAGTGTTTTTCACGTATATTTATATACAAATTCAAAAACAAAAACAAAAACAAATATTCAATATATATATATAGTGAAATAAAAGTGTTTTTCATGTTTTAATTCTGATTTTGTTTTCTAAGACCTTTGGTTTTTTGAAGCAGATCGCGGTGCTGCTGTGACTGTGAGCTCGAACGATTTCCCTCCATTTTTTCTAGAATTTGATTTCTTCGTGCCAGTGTTTTCAAAAATTGGGATGTATTTATAGTCCTTACTCGGCGCGGAAATTTTGGCTTGGACAGGAGGCCCGTTGCCGAGAATTCTAACGGGCTGATTAAGCCCAGTATCAGGCCCATTGTGAAAATTAACCTCAATACTAAATTTAACCCTTAAATATTTTGTAAAAACATGTAATTTTAACTAAACTAGTTTTAATTCCAAAATTAACCTGTATCCAGTCAACATATCTATTTATATTATCTCGTAGATCGTTAGTTTTATACAGATAAAACTTTACTTGTTGCATGAATCTGTTTCGTAACGGTCTATGCAGACCTAAAACATGAATTGGTTTCGAAACGGTCCATCAGACCACACAGTATTGGCTGGTTCCATTGGAATTCGAAACCTCCTATCGGATATCCCAATCCCCATTCCTATTCCTTATTTCTTTTCCATAATTAAAAAAAAAAAAAAAAAAAAAAAACAGAGTGTCTAAGTCAACTTGTATGCACCTCGATTAATCTTTATAAGTGAGTAGCACAGCATCCATCACTATGATCACCCACTTAAATCCTAAGAATCAAAAGGATTCAAACCTGAGACAGTATGCCTTAACCACACATGCCAGCTCGTCCTGCCACTTGAGTTACACAAGGGTGATTTTTCGTAAACTTAGTATGAACACAATCTCAAACATTAGAAAACAGAGTTGTGGTTAGTATCCTACGATACGATTCGATTTAGGTCACCAACGATACGTATCAAATAGTGTATCATAAACCTTTTGATAGATTGATATGTATCATACGATATAATACGTATCCGTTTGTATCCTTAAAAATATCGATACAAATCAATACGACTTTATTAATTTGGGCCAAAGGCCCAAATAAAATTTTGGGTCGGAACCGAGTCACCCATTTCGGTTCACTAAAACTTGCTCAAATTTATCCATTTTGCATAGAGAAGGTGAAGAAAAACATGTGTTGCCCATTTTGCATGATAATAATAATACAAGTGGAGATATAAATATTGACATTGATCTTAGAAATGATATGAATGGTTGAGAGAAAATAATATAGATTCTTAATTTTGTGATTAATTTTGATTATGTAATACCATAATTTAAAGTCAATAATACCACAAAATTCTTTAATTGATTTTGGGGATGATATTAATTTTTAAATTTTTTTGATTATTTTATTAATTTTTTTGAAAAAAGCATATCCTACAATACGATATGATACGTGATACAGGATTCAAAAAATTAAGGGTATGTTTGGTTTATTATTTTGGATAGGATTTTGGTAATAATATTGGGTAATTGAATAGGAGAGTATTACGAGGTAAAATTTAAAAATTTATAAAAATAAAAAACCCCTAGATTTGCTAATTTAATTAAACACCCCAATATATAAAATGACAAAAACAACCCCACCACCCGCAGTGCCAGATTCCGACCACCACCGCCAGAATCTGGTCCGAAAATTACATTACGACACAGACCGGTCGAATTTGTGTCATAACACGTCGCTATGGCTTTTTCCAGCCAGATCCACCACGGATCTAGCTGGAAAAGGCCAGATCTACGGCCAAATGTGGCCGTCGACGGCCAGAAAAGGCTAAAGATATGTTACGACACAGATCCATATTGATTATTCTTTGGTAAGATATGTGGTGGATGAAAAGGCCAAATCTGTGGTGGATCTAGCCGAAAAATGCCAAATCGGTGAACTACCGGCCATTTCTAGTCATGGTGTAAGGCGTTGTACAGATTTCGGCTACCACCGACGGTGGTTGCTAGAATCTAGCAAGTATGGGTTGATGGGGGTGTTTTTGTTAATTTTTAAACTTTTTTTGGGGGTATTTAATGAAATTAATAAGCTTAAGAGGTCTAAAAGTAATTAAAAAATATAGTAATATTTCTGAAACAATGTGCCAAACAATATTTGAAGAATAGGATTTGGAATATAGATAAAAATAGGGAGTCAAACGCACCCTAAGTTTTTGATACACGATAGAATACGTGATTTGACAACTGTGGGTACATTGAGAAATTTAATTTCCTTTCATGCCCATGTAATAATAGATGCACATAAACATGAATAATCAATGAAATGTGGTAAGTGGAGAAATGGCAACCCATACGAAAGGTTGTATAAACATTATAGCTCAACCGTATGGGGTCATGAACAAACAACTCTTGCATCAAAATCACAAATCAATAATTGCCGACATCTAAATTCTACTAAAGTTCATTCCCTTTCAAGATTTGTAAAAATTCCAAGCTAAGAATCATCCTTTCACATTCACAATCAAACAAACAGAAAAAGCACAACCGACTAAATATATCCTCTCTGTCTACCATCGATAACTTATTTATTTTATAACGAAAACAACATTATGTATATATATTTTCATAATTTTTAAAATCATGCATCAAATTTGTAAGAATAGAATCTATAACATATGTAAGAATCTGATTCAGTTGTTACGAGAAAGTTTTAAGTGAGATTGATATATCACGTTATATATTTTAAGTATTAATTATTTCTATTTAACACCGATAAATCGTTAATCAAACATTCATCAATGAAGTTTATAGTTAAAAAATAAATAAAAATATTAATTTAAAAAATGATCAATTATTCTTTTTAGATGAACTTTTACCTTTTGCTGTAGCGTTCAATTTTCTTGGATCGTATCTCTAACAAGTAACAGCTTCATGTTGTCAGTCCAAAACATCACAGAACAACACTCAGTTTTTAGCTCTATATAAGTATATAGAAGCTTAACTTGGCTAACTGCACAACTAAAACCGGACAAGAAATCCAGAAAGGATCAAAAATTCTGAATTTTCCTGGAAAATTCAAGGAAGTTGCTCACTGAATTCCTTCTTCTGAAAGCACTTTGGAAATTGGGTTTAAAAGTAGGTGCTTTACTCCAACTGGTAAGTACCACAATACACAACACAGTCTCTTTTACACAAGTCTTTAATTAGATCTGGGTAGAGTTGTTGTTAAACACTTCTTTTTATGGATATCCATTTGTTTTTTGTTAATTATGAAGCCATCTAGCTTACTTGGTTTGGTTATAGTTCCATTATTGTTCTTATGTTTGGTGCTTATAGAGGCAAATTTGATGCTGTTATCATGCATTTAGTTAAGTGAATAATAATAATATTCATCATCATCATCAGTTCATCATGATGACCACTGTTGAGATCGTTCATGTGTTGGAATTGTGTTTGGTTAAGGTTTTTTTCGTGTTAAGTCCCATTGTAGTTGTTTCAGTTGATGTTTCCATAGAAAAAGATTGAAAAAGAACTCCCAGCTAATCATTTATTCAATCAAAGCAGACAATTTGCTTCTTGTTTCTGCTGTTCAAGAGGGATATTTAATCATTTGGCCAGTCCTTGTTTCAAAGGGGTAATTCAGAGATATTGTCACTTGTGAGTGTTCAAAATTTGTTCTTTTCCCACATTGTACCAGTTTTTTCATTACAGAGAATCGCCGCTTATATATAATTTGTGGTGTATTTTTACTAGATGAACAGAAATAGAGCTTTAGCTGATATCTCGACAGTGAATTACATTGATAATTAGAGAGTTTAATGCTTGAAGTGTAGATAAATGAACTTATATGCATCCTGCTAAGTGTGATCATGATTTTAAAGGTTAAATTTAATCGCTCTGCGAATATTACTTATAGGAAGATGCATTGAAACATCTTGACTGATGTAGCTAGTTTTAACTTTTGACGTGCCTGACCATTTGCAGGTCCTTTAATGGCCTCCAACGGTACAAATCGGTCATTGCTCTCAGGATTAGTCGATCCTACACCTCCGAAAAGTAATGAAAATACTTCCAAGATAAGACGATATCGTCGTTGTAAAAGTGCTCCTACAGCTGATTTTCTTCCTGCAGAAATTGGCTTAAACAACCTTCAACGCTCTGCATCCATTTTTGGGAAACCCCATCCACATTATTTGAGAATGGCTGCATACTTGGGTGTGTACCTTAGTGCAGGCACCATATGCTTCTACAGTGTGAAGAGCCAAATCACCGGGAAGAAAACCAATGGAATCGTGGATTCTATTTATTTCTGTATTGTGACAATGACCACCGTGGGATATGGGGACCTTGTGCCTAATAGTGTCCTTGCGAAACTACTCGCCTGTGCTTTTGTCTTTGCAGGGATGGGTCTAGGTGGTATAATGCTCAGCAAAGCAGCCGACTATTTGGTAGAGAAGCAGGAAATCTTGCTGATTAAGGCCCTACATAGACGTCAAAAACTTGGTCCAATGGATATGCAAAAAGAGGTTGAAACCAACGGACTGAGGTACAAATGCATCTTGTTTCTGATCATCATATCGGTGCTCATCATCGTTGGGACAGTCGTCCTCGCCTTAGTTGAAGGAATGGACTTCGTCGATGCATTCTACTGTGTTTGTTCTACCATCACAACTTTAGGTTATGGTGACAAGAGCTTCTCAACTACAGGGGGTCGCTCTTTCGCAATCATTTGGATCCTGACTAGTACCATATCATTAGGTCGGTTTTTTCTCCACATTGCTGAGCTAAACACTTTAAAGAGACAAAAGAAACTGGTCAATTGGGTTCTTAATCGGAGAATGACAGCCATAGATTTGGAGGCAGCCGATCTTGATGGTGATGGTGATGTTAGGTAAGCTCATTTCACCTGTTTTCAATTCTGAATTCTACTCTCTCTTATCCCATTTACACATACTGGTTATTTCCACAGTGCCGCGGAATTCATCATATATAAGCTTAGGGAGATGGGGAAGATTTGCCAAGAAGATATTTCACCAATACTGAAGGAGTTTGAGGATCTTGATGTTGATCAATCGGGAACATTGTCGACGTCAGATATAACTCTTGCTCAAAATCCTCAAACCAACAGCTGAATTTGATCTTCTTGTAACATAAAACTATGGTCAACATATTATTGTCAATGTATCATGTCTGTACTACTTGTTGCTTCTGAATTCTCCTTGTAACTTTGTTTAAGAGCAAATGGTGTCCCTTTGTATGAGGAAATAAAATGAGTTCCTTTCTAAACCTTGTCTTTGTACTTCCTTCTCTCACCCACAATGGATTGGTATATTACATCATACTGTTGGACCATAATTGGGCCTCCCATCTCTTCGGACTTAGCCCACTAGGCTCCTTACGATTCGATTTTGTTTTCAAGCAAACACAACACGAGGGCTTCCCAGGAAGTCATCAATTCTAGTAATATCCTTGTCGAATCACCTTTTACCTTTAGACTTTTGACAAAATTTGGTGAATTTAATGCTAATAAGATGTTAAATTAAGTTTAGATTTATGTAGAAATCAATTTTGTCCCTTAAATTTCATATGCTTACAATTTAGTCCTCCTTGTTCATTAAACTTTATCCTTTGACCCCTTAAAAACTGCCATTTTTCTCTTGAAGAACCAGAGGCTTCTAGTTAACGATAGAAAGAGAGTGAAAACATGCTCTTGGGTGGTCCCTTTGTATGAGGATATAAATTGAGTTCCTTTCTAAACCTTGTCTTTGTGCTTCCTTCTCTCTCACCCACAATGGATTGGTATATATTACATTAGACTATTGAGCCATAATTGGGCCTCTCATCTCTTTGGACTTAGCCCACAAGACTTCCTTTCGATCCGATATTGTTTTCAGGCAAACACGACACTAGGGTTTTCCAAGAAGTCATCCATTCTAGTATTATCCTTGTAGAAGCACCTTTACCTATAGACTTTTGACAAAATTTGGTGCATTTAATGCTAATAAGATGTTAAATCATTGTAATGTTAAATCTACAACCCAATTTCACAATCTCTGACGTGATAATTGATACGTTTACAAGTCCTAAAATACTTGTAAACATGAGTGGATAAGGAATTACAAGTCCTAAAACACTTGCTAATTCGGTTGAATCAAAGAGTTTCATTCCAAGTCCTAAAACACTTGGATTGTGGAGTGTGGAAAGCATTTGAGGAGATTCGGCCCAAGCAAGTTCCAAGGGGAGAGAGAGCCCAAGCACTTCGGCCCCAACCATTCCAAGTCCAAGCCCAACAAAGGAAGCTCAAGTCCACCAAGAGAGAAGCCTAAGTGTTCAAGTGAACCCATTCGGCCCAATTCTCATTCCAAAGGAGAAAGTCCACTTGAACCCTTATTGGATCCAATTGCAAGATCTTCAAGACCCAATCTCTTACACCCTTATTAGTAGACTTGATTAGGATCATTAATCAAGTTTTGGGCTAATAAAGTGAGTTTTTTCAACTAATGGAGTGGTTAAAGACATGAACCCTAGAATTAGGGAATCATATCCCTTTTTGCATTAAATGGGTATGGCCTTAATTTTGAATGGAAGGCTTGTAATTTTTGTGTAATATTTATTAATTTTTATTTTCTTGTATTGTATTTGTTTATTACTCTTTTAACCTTGTAATTGCCTATATAAAGGCAATTATTCTCTTTGTAAAAGTTAGTTCATGAAATATCAAAAACTTGGTTTAACCATTGAGAGAACTTTGTGTTCCTATTGAGATTTCTTTATCCAAGTCTTGGCAAGGAGATTTTGTGGTGAATCGATTCAAGTTGGTGGAGAATTCTTTTATGCTTGAAGTGTTCATTCTTGTCTTAACCTAAAATTGCAAGTAAGTGTGACATTGCCTCCATTTGTGTTTGGCCGAATTTAAGCTTGAGTTTAGGACATATTTTTGTGTTGTTTGTTGTTGTAAATTGGTTGGAATTGGACTAATAACTTGTAATTAGTCAGTCCGTAAATAGACATATAGAACTCATAGTAAGCAGATGGGATACATTTGCGAGTTTATAAATTACGAACTTTTACATTAGAGATTGTAAAAAAAGTTATGGACCTAGCATTTCTAGTTAAATTAAGTTTAGATTTGCTAGAAATATTGATTCCCTTAAACTTCATATTCTCCATTTATTAAACTTTTCCTTTGACCCATTAGCGACTGCTATTTTTCTCTTGAAGAACCAGAGGCTTCTAGTTAACGACAGAAAGAGAGTGGAAACATGCCATTGGGTGGTCCCCACATGCCATACCAAATGACAAGCAATCAATCATGCAACTTCCTGAACTTTTTATCACAGCCAGCCACCCATCAGAGTGGCCCACTTCACCAATCAGTCCGCTGTTGACCGTACGATCACAATCAATTAAAGTCAGCTGATTTATCATATCATTGCCAACTCCTGGGCCCACACAGCGTATCCAACGTTCCAAATTCAACGCCAGAGAGTATTAGAATAGATTGGGCAGCACCTGAACACACTGCTTTACTTTATTAATTATTACCCATCTCCATGTGTGACGCACACAGCCACAGTACAAAGGTGAAAATTCCTACGATTATTATAATTTTAAACACTTATTTTTTAATGTTTAATTCATTTTAAATTTTATTTTATTTTATTTTTTTAAGGAATCTATACATAGTAAAGAATTTTAGGGCTTACGTGGATCATTACAATAATAAATTAAATTTAGTCCATTCAAAGCATATATAGGTATTTTTGGTATTAACAAAATTATTTTTCTACAAACCTACCCACCCATGCTAACCCGGACGAACAAGAACCTACAACCATAATAGATTTTTGTAAAAATAATATTTTTATCTATGATTTACCTTAAAATTAATGACAATAGATAGTTGTGAGATAATTTCACGAAGATTAATCAAGGTAATATTATTTTTCTAAAAATTTGAAAACCCTTTTAAAATTTCTTTTCTAATATATAATCTCATTTTCTAGTGAAATAATCATATATATTCACCTGTCTTTTCAAATATTAAAAATTAAAAATAGAACTAAAAGATTTATCGTGTTTATAAATTATTTTTGGATCATAAATGGAAAACGGTCATTTTAGGTTAAAAGTTACTTACAAATGAAGAATTCTTCATTAATTTCTTACCAAATAATAAATTGCTTATCATGTGACCCAACCGTTCATCATAGTCAATATCAATATCATGATAATCAACATCAATAATTCAATATACATCAAAGGCCCCACTTAAAGGTATATACAAATTTAATTTCAACATCATTATTAATTCCCATTTTGAAAACTAACCAATAAATTAATTAATAAAATAATTAATAAATATATATATATATATAAAAAAAAGTTTATTATTCTGCCCAAAATACTCTACACTTCAGTACATTAGAAAGACAACAAAAACAAAAGAGTTAGAAATTATTACACTAAAAAATTGAACTAGCTGGAGCTACCACTCTGTGTGTGGTGGAAGCTTTGAGGAACTGGTTCACCTTCATCTTCAGCTTCAGTTTGTGGAGGTGGATGTTGTACGGCATGATCTTGGCCGGCAACGTAACCGAGGATGTCTTCGGCGGCGGCTTTGTGGTGCTCGATATGGGAATCAGCGGCGGGCAGTGAGGTCTTGCCGAAGAAGACGACGGCGACAAGGAAGAGAGCAGTGGAGAGAAAGAGAGGCCAGAAGTAAGCCAAAATGGTCAAGACCCTTGGAGCAAAAATCACTAAAGAAAACACCAAACCCAAGAGACTGAGTGTGAACAATATATGGAACTTGAACTTGAGAAGCTTTTTTTGGATCTCCATGGAGGGTTTTGCTTCAAACTGAAGAGAGGGAGAGTATTAGAGAGAGAGAGAGAGAGAGAGAGAGAGAGAGAAGAGGAAGACGAGGGGATGATTTTGATTGATTGGTTGTAATTATTGTTGTTGTGAATTATCTCTATGTATGTGCACAGAGATTCCCTGAAGCAAAAATGTTTGAAGTCACTATCTCTATGTTTGTTTTCTTTGGGTTTGAAAAAGAGAGAGAGAGGATTTGTGAAGTGAATAATAATAGTTAGGGCACTTTTCACACTCGTTTGGTTGTGTTTGTTTCCTATGGGTGGGTAAACTTTTGTTTCCTAAATTGCCCTTTTGTAGGGTTTAAAGGTTAACGAGTTAATGACTTAAACATAGATGGTAATTTTGGATTGTTCTTGAATTAGTGAGTTTGGGATGAATCTTATATCGATGAGAAATATTAGAATATATTGATGAGAAATATTAGAAACACTCTCTTTATCGTTCTTTGTCCCAGTCTCTTAATCACTATTTTAACTAAAGGTGTTCAAAAAAATCGATTAAAACCAGAATCGACGGGTATCTGGGGTTTGATCCTGGTTTTTATCCAAAACTAGCCGTCAACGGGTAGGTTTCGGTTCTAAATTTTTGGATCTGTTACTGTTTCAGTTCCGGTTTTTATAGGAACAAGAACCAGAATCAGGAACCGAGACTAATATAAAATAAAATTAAATAGTTGGGGGTTAATAAAAACTTTTGTAGAAAAAGTAATGTGAATACATTTATATTTATATTTCATAACATTTAAAATAAGTTGGTTTGACTTTTGAGAATTTATCTTTACAAAGTAATGAAGTTTATAATTTTGAATTTATAATTTGTAATTTTATTTTTGTTAACAAGTTATAGGTGGGGGGGTATTTGTAAGTTTTTAAGGGGTTTTTTGCTATTTTAAAAATTTTTGGGGGTCATCGATTCTAGTTCCGATTCCAAATTTCAAGAAACCGTCTGTTCAAGTTCTGGTTCTAGTTTCAAATTTCAAGGAATCATCGGTTTTAGTTTCTTCAAAAAATGTAGGGTACTTATAACCGAACACTCCTAATTTTAACATGTGTATAAGAAGACAAAGAAAATAAAAAAGAAAGAGAGCATCTATAGTTAATATTTTACTCCTACATCATGATATTATACTCTTTTTGTAAGTCTTATACAAGAAAAGCGAATTCGTACTTATGTTCGTACTTATACAAGACTATATAGACTCGTATATACCATACTCAATGCATGTGTCATATGTGCTAATACAATATAAGATTTAGTGGGTGAAGGGCAATTTTGACATTGCACAAGTAAAATTAAATCCACGTACAAAATACCCTTTTTGTCCAATCACTGAAACGGTGTGTCCGCTATGGGTAAATTTTCAAACAAAAATTCAAAGGGATTTTAGATTAAAGTTTTTGTAAGTTAGTGGGGGGAAGATAAGATCTAAGCGTATATGGTGTAGTAATCAAGGCTTTGAAAGTTATTCCAATTGAGAATAATTCGCCTTCCAACAAATTTTTTAATTGAAGTCTCATTTAATTTAATTTAATATATGGTTGGTGTGACCCTATGTTGAAGACTTGGATTCATGAGCACATGTCAGCTGTTTTATTAAGGGTGAGTAAATTTTATTAAAATAACCCACTTATGGGTAGTTCAATAGTGAGTCGGTAACAACTAACAACAAACCAAAGAGGCTAGTACGATCACAACCCACAATCCTAAGTTCGATTTTTTCGTTGGACGCAAAGGTAGCATGATATTGACTCTTTTGAGATTCAATTAAATAACAAAAAATTATTGAAAGTTTCAGAAATAATATAAGCTTCGTTTGTTTCAGTTTTTAGAATAGTATTATATTATAAATATGATTTAATCAAATATGATAGAATTCTGTAAATGTGTTTGATACATTTTTTAAAAATATTTTCTAAAATACACATTTGTTTTCCTATTCTAAAAATACTATTATATTTTATTCAATTTTTTAAACCCCCTAAGTTTGTTAATTTAATTAAACACCCCCTAAAAAAGTTTAAAAACTAACAAAAATACCCCTACCCACATTTGCTAGATTCTGGCCACCATTGTCGGAAGGTGGCTGGAATCTAGTATAATAGCGCACTACCAACCGGATCTGACCGGTAGTGCGTTGATATGGCCTTTTCCAGCCAGATTTAAGGCCAAAGATCTGGCTATTGACGGCCAGATCTACGACCATAACTAGTCGTCAATGACGGCCAAGATAAGACCATCCTTCGGCGGTGGTGGCCGGCTATCAATATTTAATGGATGGGTGGGGTGTTTTTATAATTTTTAATGTTTTATTACATGAGTGTTTAGTAAATTAACAAACTTAGGGGGGTGTTTTTGTTAATTTTTAAATCCTATCTCGTTATTACCACTCAACTCTTACTTTTTCAAAAATACTATCCACAATACTAAAACAAGCGATTTTTTAACCCATTCTATTTGTTAATTTCACTAAACACCCCTCACAATAAAAATTTATAAATTAACATAACACCCCCACCCACCTAACTATTGCCAACAACCAGCCACCATCATGAGATGATGGTTAGAAGTCGTCAGAATGACACACGATCGGCTGCCAATAATAGTTGGATGGGTGCAGGTGTTTTTGTTAATTTATAAACTTTGATTGAGAAATGTAATTATTAATTGTTTTGAGTTGAATAAAATATGATTGAGTTTTAAATTAAATAGTTAATATTAAAATAAATATATATTTTACTCGATTGAATATGATAATAGGATACGATAGAGTTTGAAAAGTTAAATAAAGGTGCCTAAATTTTTCTATGATTTAAGTGTTAAAATAGTGGAAAGGTTATTGACTCGTAAAAGTAAGTTTTTAATGGTTCATTAATGATGGGGAGATTTTTATTATTTGAAAAACCTCAGGGGGGGTTTGATCATTGAATAAAACTCGGGGGTTGACAAATTTCTTTTTTCGCTGTTTGATGGGAATCGTCATGTCGTCCAACCCGAAAAACCGACATGTCGTTATGACAGAATGAAGAGCAAGTCATAGTCGGTAGTGGCCAATAACATTCATTAACTTTCACAACTTCGATGGTCTCAGCAGCGAGCCGCCACGATGGCGCCTGTGAATCCCACAGGAGCTATAGTAGCCGCTGCTGCAATCTCCATAGCTATAGCATCTTACTATTATCTCTCCAAATCCAATAAAAAGACCAAGTTGCCCCTATTTTTCAACAAAAACGACAAGAAGAAGAAATTAAAACGAAATGGACTTGTTGATGCCATTGGAAACACCCCTTTGATTCGTATCAACAGCCTTTCTGAGGCCACTGGCTGTGAAGTAAGTTTTGATTTTTGTTCTCTTTCTCTCTTCAAGCTACGTTTTTGTTATCTGGCTATGTCTCAAAATCATACTTTTTTATGTATGATTCATGAGCTTCGGTTTATAGGTACTTGTGTATGATACGTTTCATTGATGCTGTGATTTTATTATCATCTGCTCTTCAAGCTGTGCTTTTGTTATCTGGGTGTGGTTCAAAATGGTTTTTTTATGTATAATTCATGAACTTGTGATGTATTTCTGTATAGGTGCTTGAATATGATTTGTTTTATTCAAGTTGTGATTTCATTCTCTTTCTCTCATCAAGCTGCATTTTGTTATCTTGTTATGGATCAAGATCATTGTTTTTTTTGTATTATTCATGAACTGTGAATGTGTTATCACAAGTTTGTACAGATATGTGTGTATGATTTGTTTTATTCAATCTGTACCAATTTCAAGTTTTATATAGTTTTGGATGATATACCTGCGTATACCATGCTGTATTGTTCTCAAGCTTTAGTTTTTTCAATGTATGTTGTCTCATTTCCACTTATAATATATGAATTTTGGAAGCAAGACAAGGTATATACATATGCTTACCCTTTCACCATAGATTAGCATCAATTCTTTCTCTGAAGCAACTTGTTTGGAATTGCTTTTTTTTTTTCTTTTGTATCAATTATTTATAAATATGTAGGAATTTCCATTCTAGGTCTATATATATTGCAGAAATGATCCTTTTTCCTTTTTCTTTTTTTATTAAAATCAATAGTACCCAGAGCCAGTGGTACGTGGATTTTTATTATATTTTCTTGATTAATTGGTTTGTTATTTGTTTTCTTTTCTAATCTATGTTAGGAGGAATATTGATTTTATTTTTTTGTTGATTTATTTTTCTTTTTTGGGTTGTTCAGATTCTTGGTAAATGTGAGTTTTTGAATCCAGGAGGGAGTGTGAAAGACAGAGTTGCTGTGAAGATAATTGAAGAGGTAAATTGTTTCCGTTCACTACCTGTTATCGGGGAAGAAAAAAAGAATAGGTGAATTGGAGATTTTCCATTTATTTGAGACTTGAGAAAAGTGAAAACAACTTGATAGTTTCTATCCTTTCTGTGTTAAGCTTTCTAATTTTGGCCTCAGTACAGGCTTTGGAAGCTGGCAAGCTAAGTCGAGGTGGAGTAGTCACTGAGGGAAGTGCTGGAAGTACTGCAATTAGTCTTGCTACAGTCGCTCCAACCTATGGATGCAAATGCCATGTGGTTATCCCTGATGATGCTGCTATTGAGAAGGTATGTACTAATGTATTTTGCGTGAGGAAGTTATCTGTACGTATCTAGTTTCTTCACTACTGCTTTGCCCTTATTTTTCTTTTTACTGCAAGACATTGAGTTTTGTCTCTCTTCAACTCACTAGTCGCAAATACTTGAGGCCCTTGGAGCAATTGTTGAAAGAGTAAGACCAGTGTCAATCACGCATAGAGATCACTATGTCAATATCGCTAGGAGACGGGCATTGGAAGCAAATGAATTCGCATCAAAGCATAGAAAAGGTGAACAGGTGAATGGCAAAGAGCTAGAGCAAATTAATGGTCATGGATCTGATGAAGCCAAAAAAAGTTCCATCTTCTCAAGTGATTGTACCGGTGGTTTCTTTGCTGATCAGTTTGAAAATTTAGCAAACTTCCAAGCCCACTATGAGGGTACTGGGCCTGAGATCTGGGAACAAACTAGTGGTCATTTAGATGCATTTGTTGCAGCTGCTGGCACGGGTGGAACTGTAGCTGGTGTTTCCAGGTTTCTCCAGGTCAAATTCTTTCCTACGTTGCATTTGTTGTTCATTTATAATTGGGATGTTACTGAAATACTTTTACCTGTTAACAGGAAAAGAATCCAGGCATCAAGTGCTTCCTGGTTGATCCTCCCGGTTCTAGTTTGTTCAATAAGGTAACAAGGGGGGTGATGTACACTAGAGAGGAAGCTGAAGGAAAAAGACTGAAGAATCCTTTTGATACAATAACAGAAGGAATTGGTATCAATAGATTAACAGAAAATTTTTTGATGGCAAAACTTGATGGAGCTTTTCGAGGCACTGATAAGGAGGCTGTTGAAATGTCAAGGTCAGTCTATATTATGCTTTCATTGTTAAGAAGAGGAGAAATTTTGAGTTCTGAAAAAATACAATTGTTTATTTAATCAAATCAATAATGGTTTTGCTTCTTTCCAACATAATAAATTTCGTTTTTATGGAAAAGATGACATATACCTAGTTACTTATATCAAGTTATCAACAAGAAACGATTTTCAAGCTTTACATATCGTTAACTCTGTAACCTCTTTTATTTTCCAGATTTCTTTTGAAGAATGACGGTCTCTTCCTCGGGAGTTCTTCAGCCATGAACTGTGTAGGAGCTGTACGAGTGGCACAGTCACTTGGCCCTGGTCACACAATAGTCACCATTCTTTGTGATAGTGGGATGAGGCATCTGAGTAAGTTTTATGATGCTCAGTATCTTTCCCAGCTAGGTTTGACACCCACTGCAGCTGGACTAGAGTTCCTTGCTATCAAATGAGCTTCTATCGGAGTTAGAATAGCATATTAGCTTTATTCTTTAGCAAACTTTTTACCGCCTCCACGGACTTGACCAGAAAACTTGTTGATAATGCATTTCTCTGATGGCATCATAGAGGATCAAGTAAAATCCATTCTTTGAAAATAGGTATACATGATGATTTTTTTGAGTGGTGAGATTATTTTTGACGATCTACTTTGAATATGTAAAACTTCATATTATTTTGGTTTGATAGAGAATCAAGAGTGTTAAATTTTTTCTGTTTCTCTTGCTCAAGGAGAGTACCCAAACTGCATCTCACCGTATTATAGACTGGTTTTACTGATTTATGAACTCCAGACTTTATACATCTTTCATTGTCCATTCAATAAAGAAAAAATTGGCTTGCTCCTTATGAAACATTGGTAACACAGAAGTACAACTTGATGCCTCGACATACAACCAGAAACCAAACAATACCTTGACTTAAAAATTTAATGTTTGTCATTGCAAAAGGTTTAACCAAACACTTATTGTTGAAATACATAACCTCAATAAAAGATATCTCCAAAGAGATTAATTTTATATGATGGTGATTGCCACCAAGTCAAGTTTGTCAACAGATAGATATGTGATGCTAACAAAAACTCCACTCACTGGGGGTACCACTTATCAAACTGAGACTCATGGCAATGAGGGTCTAGCCAATCCTTGGAAGTACCCTTTGACATGTTGACGCCTACTTTTCCGCCACCCACAAGCTCTCTCAAATTTTCCACCTTATTCTCCCGCCCTGTCCCAGCGGTCCTCCTATCCGCTTCCTTCAGTTTCTGCTTAAATCGCTGCTTACGGCTAGATGCGTTCAGCTCCTGCTGCTTCGATTGTGAAGGAGGTGCACCGTGTGGTCCTAAGTAGATATTCTCTTCCTTTTTTGCCTGCACATGTAGAGTAAACAAAAAGTAAGATTTGATCAAGTGCTATTACATTGTCTGATAAAAACTTCAACATATAAACTATAGTGCCTTAAAATGATCCTTTTAAAGAAATAAAACTCTCGAATAACCTTTGGAGAAGGAGGTTTAGATGTTTCCTCTTCTACACCACCAGGTTTACTTTCACCCGGGTCTCCTATTCCCAAGCTTGGAATCACGAATCCATCAGTGTCTAACACATCAAGCATCACAGGTGAACATTAAAGTCAGTGCATGGAAAACAACATTAATGTTATGCAAAAGTACATGACTTGTAATAATTGTTGAAACATAACCCAAAAGTTTTGAGAATATCTAGCTGTTTTCCCATAAAAAATAGCATCCTAAATATCGTCTGCAACGCAAGACACATCTGATCCACATAGAACTGAAATTTCAAGTAACAAGGAGAACTACACATATTTCACGCAGCCTCCCTTCATCTGATCTAAACCGATTTAGAGAGCATAAAAGTCCACTTAAAATCCAAACTCAGATCATCAAAGGGGTAAAAATTAGCAGTAACAAATAGATTTACAAAATACAAAATTGAAAAAAGGGCTAAAGAAAAATGATACAAATAAAAGGAAGTGCAACAAGTTGTTATATTACATCCTATAGCTTCAATTTGGCCCAAAAAAAATCTTCAATAAGAAAGGTAACTCAAGCATTGCTCAATCCATGCAGTATAAACAATCACATATTTACATANTCCAGGCATCAAGTGCTTCCTGGTTGATCCTCCTGGTTCTAGTTTGTTCAATAAGGTAACAAGGGGGGTGATGTACACTAGAGAGGAAGCTGAAGGAAAAAGACTGAAGAATCCTTTTGATACAATAACAGAAGGAATTGGTATCAATAGATTAACAGAAAATTTTTTGATGGCAAAACTTGATGGAGCTTTTCGAGGCACTGATAAGGAGGCTGTTGAAATGTCAAGGTCAGTCTATATTATGCTTTCATTGTTAAGAAGACAAGAAATTTTGAGTTCTGAAAAAATAAAATTGTTTATTTTATCAAATCAATAATGGTTTTGCTTCTTTCCAACATAATAAATTTCGTTTTTATGGAAAAGATGACATATACCTAGTTACTTATATCAAGTTATCAACAAGAGACGATTTTCAAGCTTTACATATTGTTAACTCTGTAACCTCTTTTATTTTCCAGATTTCTTTTGAAGAATGACGGTCTCTTCCTCGGGAGTTCTTCAGCCATGAACTGTGTAGGAGCTGTACGAGTGGCACAGTCACTTGGCCCTGGTCACACAATAGTCACCATTCTTTGTGATAGTGGGATGAGGCATCTGAGTAAGTTTTATGATGCTCAGTATCTTTCCCAGCTAGGTTTGACACCCACTGCAGCTGGACTAGAGTTCCTTGCTATCAAATGAGCTTCTATCGGAGTTAGAATAGCATATTAGCTTTATTCTTTAGCAAACTTTTTACCGCCTCCACGGACTTGACCAGAAAACTTGTTGATAATGCATTTCTCTGATGGCATCATAGAGGATCAAGTAAAATCCATTCTTTGAAAATAGGTATACATGATGATTTTTTTGAGTGGTGAGATTATTTTTGACGATCTACTTTGAATATGTAAAACTTCATATTATTTTGGTTTGATAGAGAATCAAGAGTGTTAAATTTTTTCTGTTTCTCTTGCTCAAGGAGAGTACCCAAACTGCATCTCACCGTATTATAGACTGGTTTTACTGATTTATGAACTCCAGACTTTATACATCTTTCATTGTCCATTCAATAAAGAAAAAATTGGCTTGCTCCTTATGAAACATTGGTAACACAGAAGTACAACTTGATGCCTCGACATACAACCAGAAACCAAACAATACCTTGACTTAAAAATTTAATGTTTGTCATTGCAAAAGGTTTAACCAAACACTTATTGTTGAAATACATAACCTCAATAAAAGATATCTCCAAAGAGATTAATTTTATATGATGGTGATTGCCACCAAGTCAAGTTTGTCAACAGATAGATATGTGATGCTAACAAAAACTCCACTCACTGGGGGTACCACTTATCAAACTGAGACTCATGGCAATGAGGGTCTAGCCAATCCTTGGAAGTACCCTTTGACATGTTGACGCCTACTTTTCCGCCACCCACAAGCTCTCTCAAATTTTCCACCTTATTCTCCCGCCCTGTCCCAGCGGTCCTCCTATCCGCTTCCTTCAGTTTCTGCTTAAATCGCTGCTTACGGCTAGATGCGTTCAGCTCCTGCTGCTTCGATTGTGAAGGAGGTGCACCGTGTGGTCCTAAGTAGATATTCTCTTCCTTTTTTGCCTGCACATGTAGAGTAAACAAAAAGTAAGATTTGATCAAGTGCTATTACATTGTCTGATAAAAACTTCAACATATAAACTATAGTGCCTTAAAATGATCCTTTTAAAGAAATAAAACTCTCGAATAACCTTTGGAGAAGGAGGTTTAGATGTTTCCTCTTCTACACCACCAGGTTTACTTTCACCCGGGTCTCCTATTCCCAAGCTTGGAATCACGAATCCATCAGTGTCTAACACATCAAGCATCACAGGTGAACATTAAAGTCAGTGCATGGAAAACAACATTAATGTTATGCAAAAGTACATGACTTCTAATAATTGTTGAAACATAACCCAAAAGTTTTGAGAATATCTAGCTGTTTTCCCATAAAAAAATAGCATCCTAAATATCATCTGCAACGCAAGACACATCTGATCCACATAGAACTGAAATTTCAAGTAACATGGAGAACTACACATATTTCACGCAGCCTCCCGTATTTTGATTTCTTCCAAGGCTTAAAACTATAGCATTTGGAACACAAATATCCCATATAAAATCAACATAAAAAATGAAAAATTCACACATCTTTAATAAGAATCAACATACCCAATCACCCACCAATCAAACTCAAACCAAAATTGATCAAATAATAAATTTCACATGACATAATGCACATATTTACAATACCCACAATCAAATATCAATTTATATGAAAAAAAAAAAAAGCCAAAAATAAATTAAAAACCCATATCAAACAGAACCCAATTGAGCACAATGAATATAAATATCATACAAAGATCCCAAATTTCTACAGAACCAAACAGAAAATAGAAAAGGGCAGAACTGTAATTGCATACCCCATTCATCATCTTCTTCAACTGGAGGAGTGGTGCGCACTGGAGAGGGTTCCATGAGACGCTGATGATCATGGATTTCAACCGCCAGAGGGCGCTAAAGCCCAGAGAGAAAGCGATCAGATTAAACCAATCACCAACACCAAACCCCAAAGCCAGCTGTTTGTGACCGTCTGATTTATAAGAGCTCAAATAGTGAATCCAAATGAAATTACAAATAGGGAATAAATTCCTTCTGCCAAAGAAAAGAACCCTAGCCCTAGAAAGGTATAAAGACGGCGTGTTGAATTTCTTTCTGTGTAGTCTCTTGTTTCCCGGATTGCCCTCTTGCTTTGGGATAGGTTTGGTTTTTGGATTGTTGATGGTGTGGAGGGTAGTTTTGTCACTTTAGGTCTTGGGATTTGAGGTGATTAGTTGGTGGTAGAATTTATTATGGGCGGTGGTGATATCAAGTCGGAAGTATAAAGATCTAAAGAGAACAAGCATATGTCTTAATTATAAAAATTAAAAAGAGAAAGTATTCGATAAAATAAGCGTATATAATGTATGAGAGTTAACGACACGTTTCCA